AGAGAGAGAGAGAGAGAGAGAGAGAGAGAATTTTAATTTTTTATTTTTTAGTTCTCGGCGGACACAACATCTTTGTTGGTATGTGGTGCTGCTGAGGATCGAACCCGGGCCGCACGCATGCCAGGCGAGCGCGCCACCGCCTGAGCCACATCCCAGCCCCTCCTCCAGATCTTTACCCCATCCTCTTTCTTGAGCCTTGACTCAAAAGATCACTTCCTCCCAGAGGCCTTCCCTAATACCCCAGGGACAATAGACCTCCCCTCCCCCTCCCCATGAACCCCCACATCAACCCCCACCTTTTTTCTTTCTTTTTCTTTTTTCTTTTTTTGCAGTGCTGGGGATTGAACCCAGGGCCTTCTGGATGCATGCTAGGCAAGCGCTGTGTCACTAAGCTAAAGTTCCAGCCCTTTTATTTCGAGACAGGATCTAAGTCACCCAGGTTGGCCTTGAACTTTCAATTCTCCTGCCTCAGCCTTTTGAGTCACTGGGATTACAGGCAGGCATCACCATGCCCAGCCACATTACCTTTTTTTTTTTTTTTTTAATATTTTTAGTTGTAGATGGATACAATACCTTTATTTATTTATGTGGTGCTGAGGATCGAACCCAGTGTCTCACATGTAGGAGGCAAATGCTCTACCACCGAGCTACAACCCCAGCTCTCATTCCCCTCTTTATTACTGTATTCCATAGTACTTGGGATATCTGAAGTTCTTTAGAAACTGGACACTGGAAAAGGTCTTGTATTCAGTAGGTGCTCAATCAATACTAGAGAAATTAACGAATACCTGGTGCACACTCAACCTTTCACAAGTTTGTTTCCACATATAATTTATCCCTATTACAACATTTCTCCTTGCTCCCCTGCCTTGCCTGGGGGCTCCCAAGAACCTCAGTGGAGGTCTTCATCAACTAAGAAGCATCTGGACCCCAGTGAGGGCCCCTCATTGTTTGCTACTCATAGCTCTCCCTTTTGGGCATCTCAGGCATCCCCTCCTGCCAACTGTAGCCCTCAGGCATGAACCTACAATCTATGAACAGGTTGGCACATGGCACCAGGCTCCCAGAGGTGTGTCCTACTTCCCAGGTGCACCATGCCCCATTGAGAGAGAGTGTCCGCCCACCTCCATGGGGTATTAACTGATTTTTTTTTTCCCCAGTGATGTTTGTTTTAGGGATTAAAGTCAGTGGAGGAGCCTGTGATTTCCAGAATCCTCTGTTCTTTCCTTGGCAACTAGCATCATATTTGTTATTTTATTTTCTCAAGCCCCTGATAATACTGTTCCAGACTTGTTGGTTTGATAGCATCATCCAACGGAAAGACTCTCCTATGCTTTCCTAAACTGAGGACTGGCTGGTTTCTCAGAGCGACTTTGGAGCCAACTGTTGTTGCCGTTCTTTTGCTTCCTTTCTTAGGTCAAGCCTGTATCCACGATCATTTTTTTTTTTTTTAAGTTGTAGGTGGATACAATACCTTTATTTTATTTATTTATTTTTATGTGGTGCTGAGGATCAAACCCAGTGCCTCACACATGCAAGGCAAGTGCCGTACCACTGAGCTACAACTCCAGCCCCCATGATTATTTTCTTTTTAAGTACTCTAGTGACCCTTCACTTATAGAACACAATCAAGAAATGGGCTACTCACAGCCAGACACAGTGGCACATGCCTGTAAAAATCCCAGTGACGTGGGAGGCTGAGACAGGAAGATTACAGGTTAGAGGGCAGCCTCAGCAATTTAGCAAGGCCCTAAGCAACTTAGCAAGACCCTGTCTCAAAATGAAAAAGAAAAAGGACTGGGGATGTAGCTCAGTGACAAAGCACCCTGGGTTCAATCCTCTAAAAGAAAAAGGAAAAGAAAGAAAGAAAAAAAAAAAAAAACGGGATAATTACATGAGTGAATTTTCAAAATAATGTCCTTTAAGCACTAAAACTTCAAACAAGGGGCTTGGGATTGTGGCTCAGTGGTAGAGGCACTCCTCTAGCACAAGCGAAGCCCTGAGTTCGATCCTCAGCACCACACAAAAATAAATAAATAAAATAAAGGTATAAAACTTCAAACAATTGGGGCTGGGGATGTGGCTCAAGCCATAGCATAGCGGGCTCGCCTGGCATGCATATGGCCCGGGGTTCAATCCTCAGCACCACATACAAAGATGCTGTGTTCGCCAATAACTAAAAAAAAAATAAATAAATAAATAAATATATATATATATATATATACATATATATATATAAATAAAATTTAAAAAGAGTTTAAAAAGAAACTTCAAACAATTAAACACTTTTAAAAAAGTTTTATTGAGTTTTAATTGACACACTATAAACTGCACATAAAGTATACAACTTGATATGTTTTGACGTAAGTACACAGCCATGAAACCATCACCACAGTCAAGATAATGATCATATCCATAATCCCAAATTTCCTCTCACTCCTCCCTATCCCCCTTTCCCAAGCAGCCATGGATCTACTCTCTGAATATAGTCAATACTAACATGTCTCACCGACTTCCTCACCTTTGCAAACAGAGCACCCTTTTTTAGTTTGTTCTTTTATTTATTTGCAGTACTGGGGATTGAACTCATGGTCTCTCATGTGCTAAGCAAGTGCTCTGTCACTGAGTTACATCCCTAGTCCTTTTTATTTTGAGATAGATTCTAAGTTGCTCAACTAACCTCCTCCCTCAGCCTCCTGAGTAGCTGTGATTACAGGCACCACCACTGCGCTTTGCATTCTTTTTTGTTTGTTTGTTGTTTTTGTTCTCCTTAAGACAGGGATCTCTGTCTGTTGTACAAGCAGACTGTGTCTCTTGAGGCTCTTCTGCTTCAGTTTTCCGAGTGTTGGGACTGCAGGTACACACACCGATTCTGCATTATCATCAACATTGTGAAAATGATGTCCTCAGATGTCAGGAAGATGCATACGATTTTTTGTCCTGAACACTAAGTGGCCCCGTTTGTCATACTACCATATTAGGCAGTTTTGGGCTTGGGAGCTGTCTTGGTGCACAATTCCCAGCCAGCCTATAACTCCACTGCCTCCAACCCTGACACATTAACTGCCAACCTGTGACATTCCTATTCCCCAATATGAATGAGCAGTTTTTAATTGGGAGTGATTTTGTCATTGGAAGTGATTTGGCATGTTTGGGAAGCTTTTTGGATGTAATAGGAATGGGGGTGCTACTGGCATTTAGTGTTTGGAGACCAGGGAGTGTTTGGAGAACATCCTACAATGCATGGACAGTCCCCACAACTCAAGATATCAAGAGTTGAGATTGAGAAACCATATTCCAGCTGACAAACCAATTGGAAAACTCAATAAGAAGCTACGATCATTGCATATGTTTCTGGATCAAATGGGCTAAGGAAGGGCAGCAGGTTTGTTGAAACTCAAGATCATGGAGTTCCCAGATTCAGGAAGATTCAGGTGAGTCTCATACCTCCTTTCAATTCTACCAGAGGCAGCCTCTGGATTCCTGAGGACAAGCCCTAAGGGATCGAGGTACCAGGATCCAACATTCAGCTGGTGATGAATGAATTTCTATCTGACCGAAGAGACTGTGCCCAAAGCAGTTATTAGGTGATTGATTGTGGGTAGCACTGGCTAGGTATTGAAAACAAGGCAGAAGACATAGAGCTGGCCAAAGGAAGCCATTAAATCAATGAGTGTCTAGGATGTGGTAGAGCCAGATGGTGAAAGGTAAATGTAGACCCACCCCAATAAATGAGAAAATGAGAAGGGCTGGCCATGTTGGGATCCAGTCCCAGCATGACCAGATATTTCACCACCAACTCACTTCTAGTCTCCAGCTCCTCCCTCTCACTCACAGGCACCCTGTTTGCCTGTCATATAAAGGAGGTTTTCCCAAAGTGGTTTAGCCAGAACTGGAAGGGCTATGCCTTGTGACAGAAGAGGAGCTTGACTGTGGCACCAGCAGTCAACAGGGGAAGCAGCAGCAATAGGATGGATCCCAGGTGTTCTGGAGCTAGATGGTGAAGCGCGGACATGCTTTATTCAATTCTGCCTGACTTGAAGCTTTCACCATAACATTAGAAGAGCTATTGCACACACTCCTGAAAATGCAGGTAAGCAAAAAAGAAAATGAAAAGCTTTCAGGTTTCATCCTTTCAGAAGATGCACCAGTTAAATTTTGTTGTGTACCCTTCTATACAAACATGGATGTTGTGTACATTTTGATTAAAATTAGGCATGGGTGCTGCTGCTGAAGGCTTTATTTGAGGTGTATGAGGCAGGGAAGTGGTTTGAGAAATAGGGACTCCCAGAGCACTACAAGGGGACAATGGAACTGGGGAATTTAGAACTGTGATTACCCTGTAGTTACTAAGGAGTCTCATGCATTAGCTGCAAATTCAAAGATAGAGAGAGATCTGGCTGCTGGACCCTTACTCCCAGATCCCTGCCTGGAAAGTGGGAACCCTTTTCCAGCCCCTCCTGGCCCCCAGGATTTCCCTATTAGGCAGACCCTGCTTTTCCTATCTCCAGGCTCCTACTGTCACTCCTACTAACTACTAACTGTAGTATAAAACTTATAATGCCTCACCAAAGAGGACCTTGGGCTCCTAAAGCCCCAAGTCACAAGTCCTGAGCTTTAGAGACAGCTTAGCTTCTTAGGCCCTGAGGCCTCAGATCAATCAGCTGTGAGAGATAAAGAGAACCATACCTGCTTCAAAGAGATAAAGGCAGAAGTTCTCAGCTGGGGCAGCTGATTCTCTCCAGAGGTATCTCAGAGAGTGGCTTCCAAATCTTTTCTAGGGAGAATTGTTGCAAAATATAATCTTCTGGGAAACCCCAGAATGTGAGAAGGACCAGAGTGGACAGGCTTTGGGTGAAGCAGGGCAGGTGCTTACCTGCTCAATACCTCCTCTTCCCGCCCCCTAATGATGCACCTTTGAGCAACACAGTTTAATGAATTCTATCTTTATGCCAAAGGCATGATTGGAAGAACAAGCTGGCAGAAGAAATGGGGAAGCTGCATAGCCCCTGTCTGAGTGGCAGCCTTTTGGTCCTTCCTTCTCCAAAAACCCACAGCAGCTTGCCTGGGACCAACTTCCAGATGGATAGGGCAACTGAGGTAGCCTGTAGTGCTTTCTTTCTAGGCTGACCTTTCTTCTAGGCCACAGAACACAAAGGGCGGGCACTGGGGGACTCCCACGTGAGGTGGGGCCATCCCTGTCCCTATTTCCCCTCAATGGGGTTCTCTTGCTCATAGCCTGAGGAAGAACTGTGACTCACTTCCTGCCTCAGTCTCACTATAGGAGTATTGTTCTTCCAACTGTGGCTGGTGATGGTAGGGGCTACCCCAAGGTTGCCCCTAGAAGTTTTGACTCCTTGTGGGTGGGAAGTCCCCAAACTGGGAGTCAAACAGATTTATGGATTTACCAACTTATCTCCTAGCTCTGAGGACCCCTACATTCTTAAATTTTCTGTCGTGTTTGTAAGGGTATCCCAAAAGCACCTAAATCCATTAATTGAATATTATCTCTTATTTTACAGAGGGATATGGGGGCTCTGAGGAGTTAAGGTGGCACAATACAAAACAGTGCCACAGGGACTTGAACTCCAGTTCGCTGGTTGATCTTTCACATGAGTGATTTTAAGAATATTATTTAACTTCTCTGGGACTGTTTCCTCCTCTGTCAAATGTAGTTCATGATGCATAAAAGGCTCCTAATGGAAACAGGACACGGGAGTATGTGACTATAGTCCCAGCTGCTTGGGAGGCTGAGGCAGGAGAATTGCAAGAACAGGGCAAGCCTGTGCAATTACACAAGACCTTGTCTCAAAATAAGAAGAAGAGCTGGAATGTAGCTTGATGGTAGAGCATTTGCTTGGCCCTTGATTCAATCCCCATTACCACAAAAATAAAACAAAAAAACATTGTGAAGGGGATACATGCATGTAATCCCAGCTACTTGGGCAGCTGAGGCAAATCGCAGTTCCAGCTAGCCTGGGCAATTTAGCAATACCCTACCTCAAAATAAAATTAAATACAAGCTCCTGAAGGAAAACAGTACCTTACCTATCTCATGAGGTTTGTGGTGAGAAGAGTTAATACATGGAACTGGCTTAGAATGGTGCCTGGCTCCAGGTAAGCACTCTGTGGCATTTGTTTTTATCATTATCCAGGAACCTTTGTGAAGGAGGTGACAGGATAGCACTTTGCTGCCAGGTTATCTCACAGGGAGCAGGAAGGGATGGGCAGAGGCTGCTCCACGACCTTGGAATAACCCAGCCTGGGAAGCTCTTGGCCACATTTTCCCTCTTTCTCAGCTCAAGCAGTGTCCACCTCAGCCAAGTAGCACAGACTTTTTTAGGGCAGGAACCCAGGGAGGGAGAGGCTTCAGCTGGTATATTTCAAGTAGCTTGGATTCAGGCTCACTAAAACCCCAAGTCTCTTCCAGGATCCAAGGCCTGCTAGTTGTGGGATTTAGGGCAAATTATTTAAACTTTGTACACCTCAGTTTCCTTATCAGTAAAATGGGATTAATAACGTCAGTCTGAGAAAGGATTATGTGGATTAATAATATACCTAAGGAAGAGATAATCTTATATCACTGGCCAAGTGCCTGGCATGTCATTGGTGTGTGTGTGTGGGGGGGGGAATTAAAAGATGGGTTACTTCTGCTTATGTATCCACCTGTGCAAACACAAGCAAATAAAATCGTGACTCCTCTAACAGGCCACGAGGTTTGTCTTGCCGCTGGGAGACAGGACCTTCAAGTGGCATGCCCCAGGTCTGCCATCCCAGGCCCCTTCACCCAGTCATGCCCAAACTCAGGACTCAGGAAGAGCTGGGGAAGCGGGGAAGGGCTGGGGTGGGGGTGGAGGTGGGGAGAACGCCAGCTTCCCAGAGTCCTGCCGAGGCTGGGTTCAGAATGACTCCCCAGACCCTTCCCTTCCCATCCCCTCAAGAGGGTTCCGAGTTCGGGTGTCCACAACCAGCTGCCCAGGGAGCTCGCGGTACGAAGAGCCGAACCCGGGGGCAGAAACGGGGACTATGAGGCCTAGGGGGGGCGCGCTGGCGACCGTGAGGGCTTTGGGATCACCGGCCCCACGTCCTACCTGCCCCTACCGGGAGCCAGAGGCAGCGGGCGCCCCAGAAGGCCGCAGGGCCAGGCGTGCAGGGTCGCGCGGCGCTCGCACTCCGAACGCGGGCCCGGGCTGGGCTGCATGCGCTGCATGGGCTGGGCTGCGCGGCGG